ACTACTACTACTACTACTACTACTACTACTGCTTGTACTACTACTACTACTACTACTACTACTACTACTACTATTACTACTACGACTACTACTACTACTACTACTATTGTTCCTGTTGCTACTGCATTATCTCTACTACGGCAACTACGGCCCGTATTGTTTTTCGATTGTCACTATTACTATGTTTATACGCGTTACTACGCTTCTTAGTATTACTACTAGTACGACAATTGCTACACTACTAGCATCAGCATTATTCAATTTCCTATGGCTACTACTGGTAATATTCGTTTTAGTGTCACTATCATTGTCCGTTTTGCTGCCACTCTTATATTGCTGTGGGTGCTGCTGCGACATTGACATACGCTTCATGGCGACCGCCACCGCAATTCTGATCGTTACTCACATTTGGTGTAGTACTATTCGTAGTAGTATTCGTAGTAGTATTCGTAGTAGTAGTAGTAGTAGTAGTAGTAGTCGTAGTCGTAGTAGTAGTAATAACAGTAGTAGTATCAGTAGTCGCAGTAGCAGTCGTAGTAGTAGTAGTAGTAGTAGTAGTAGTAGTAATATTAGTAGTAGTAGTAGTAGTAGGGTTAGTAGTAGTAGTAGTCGTAGTAGTAGTAGTAGTAGTCGTAGTAGTAGTAGTAGTAGTAGTAGTAGTCGTAGTAGTAGCAGTAGTAGAAGTCGTCGTCGTAGTAGTAGTAGTAGTAGTAGTAGTAGTCGTAATCGTAGTAGTAGTAGTAGTCGTAGTAGTAGTCGTAGTAGTAGTCATAGTAGTCGTACAAGTAGTATGACAATTATTTGTAGTAGTAGTAGTAGTAGTAGTAGTCGTGGTCGCGGTCGTAGTCGTATTCGTAGTCGCCGTCGTAGTAGTAGATATAGGCGTCGTAGTAGTAGGCGACGGCGATTCGTACAATTACCATTACGATTGCAATTACTCCCCCACCACTAATCGTGGTAGGTGTGGTCGTATCAGTACCTCAGTTACTACTACTACTACTACTACTACTACTACTACTACTTTTACTACTACTACTACTTCTACTTCTACTACTTCTACTACTACTACTACTACTACTACTACTACTCCGGCGAAGACGTTTACGACTACTTTATTAATACGGTTACTACCATGCTTGCAAGTTCCAACATGTTTTTCCTCAACCATCCTGTGGTGTTGGGTCTTCGTTTTGAAGAGACGTCGTCCCGCGTTCCTTCCTCCTCCTTCCTCCTCCTCCCCTTCCTCCCACGTGCCATCATCATCATCATCATCATTATCAGCACTATCGTCGTCATCGTCATCACCATGGCCATCATCGACATCATCGACGTCATCATCACCACCATCATCATCGTCATCGTCACCACCCAATTCGGCACACTCCTCACACGTTTCGTGGCCCCATATGGAGCTTCACCGAAGGCCCCTGTGGCTGCGTTCGCATGCGCCCACCGCACCCATTTCGGCGCACCCCTCACACGTTTCGTGGCCCCACAGGGAGCTCCACCGAAGGCCCCAGTGGCTGCGTTCACATGCGCCCGCCGCACCGATTTCGGCACACCCCTCACACGTTTCGTGGCCCCACAGAGAGCCTCACCGAAGGCCCCCGTGGCTGCGTTCGCACGCGCCCACCGCACCCAGTTCGGCACACCCCTCACACGTTTCGTGGCCCCACAGGGAGCTCCACCGAAGGCCCCAGTGGCTGCGCCCACATGCGCCCGCCGCGCCCATTTCGGCACACCCGTCACACGTTTCGTGGCCCCATAGGGAGCCTCACCCAAGGCCCCCGCGGCTGCGTTCGCATGCGCCCACCGCACCCAGTCCGGCACACCCCTCACACGTTTCGAGGGAGCTCCACCGAAGGCCCCAGTGGCTGCGTTCGCATGCGCCCACCGCACTCATTTCGGCACACCCCTCAACACGCTTCGTGGCCCCATAGGGAGCCTCACCCAAGGCCCCCGTGGCTGCGTTCGCATGCGCCCACCGCACCCAGTTCGGCACACCTTTCACACGTTTCGTGGCCCCACACGGAGCTCCACCGAAGGCCCCAGTGGCTGCGTTCGCATGCGCCCACCGCACTCATTTCGGCACACCCCTCACACGTTTCGTGGCCCCATAGGGAGCTTCACCCAAGGCCCCCGTGGCTGCGTTCGCATGCGCCCACCGCACCCACTTCGGCACACCCCTCACACGTTTCGTGGACAGGGAACTCCACCGAAGGCCCCAGTGGCTGCGCTCGCATGCGGTTCCACCCCCCACTTCGGCACACCCTTCACACGTTTCGTGGCTCCATAGGGAGCTCCACCGAAGGCCCCAGTGGCTGCGCTCGCATGCGGTTCCACCCCTCATTCTGGCACACCCCTCACACGTTTCGTGGCCCCATCGGGAACTCCACCGAAGGCCCCAGTGGCTGCGCTCACATGCGGTTCCACCCCTCATTCTGGCACACCCTTCACACGCTTCGTGGCCCCATAGGGAGCTCCACCGAAGGCCCCAGTGGCTGCGCTCGCATGCGGTTCCGCACCCAATTTCGGCACACCCCTCACACGTTTCGTGGCCCCATAGGCGGCGCCGCCCCATTTCGGCACACCCCTCACACGTTTCGTGGCCCCATAGGGAGCCCCACCCAAGGTCACCGTGGCGCAGTGCGCATGGCGCCGCCGCCCCATGTTGGCACACCCCTCACACGTTCCGTGGCCCCACAGGGAGCTCCATCTCAGGCCCAAGTGGCGCAACTCGCATGGCGCCGCCGCCCCATTTTGGCACACCCCTCACACGTTTCGTGGTCCCATAGGGAGGGAGGAGGAGGAGGCGGAGGAGGAGGAGGAGGAGGCGGAGGAGAAGGAACCCCCACGATATCCACGATTGCGGTATTCACAAGTACGTATGGTTGGGTCTTTCGTCAGGTTATTGTTTTGTGAAACGATGGGGCAACGACGCGATTCGTTCCTCACATCTACGACTGTACGACCACGATCACGATTTCTACGAGTAGAGTAATAGTAGTAGAAATAGTAATAGTAGTCGTAGAACCAGTAGTAGGTGTAGTCGTAGCAGTAGTCGTAGTAGTAGTCGTAGTAGTAGTCGTAGTAGTAGTAGTAGTAGTAGTAGTAGTAGTAGTAGTAGTAGTAGTAGTAGTAGTAGCAGCAGTATTAGTAGTAGTAGTAGTAGTAGTAGTAGTAGTAGTAGTAGTAGTAGTAATAGTAGCAGTAGTAGTAGTAGTAGTAGTATTAGTAGTCGTCGTAGTCGTCGTCGTAGTAGTAGTAGTAGTACTAGTAGTAGTAGTGGTAGTCGTATTTGTCGTAGTAGTAGTCGTAGTCGTAGTCGTAGTCATTGCAGTAGTGGTATTAGTGGCGCTCCCATTCGTAGAACTACGACATGTAGCAGTAGCAGTTGTATTCGTAGTAGTAGTAATAGGTAGTGATAGGAAGTAGCAGTAGTAGTAGTAGTAGTAGTAGGAGTAGGAGTAGTAGTAGTAGTGGTAGTAGTAGTAGTAGTAGTAGTAGTAGTAGTAGTGGTAGACATGTTAGTAGTCGTTGTCGTCGTAGTAGTCGCAGCAACGGTAGTAGTAATAGTAGTAGTAGTATTCGTACTAGTCGTAGTAGTAGTAGTAGTAGCAAAGTAGTAGTAATTGTAGTAGTAGTAGTAGTAGTAGTAGTGGTCTTAGTAGTAGTAGTAGTAGTAGTAGTAGTAGTAGTGGTAGTAGCAGTGGTAGTAGTAGTATTAGTGATAGTAGTAGTAGTGGTAGTAGCCGTAGTGGTAGTAGTAGTAGTAGTAGTAGGAGTAGTAGTATCAATAGTAGTTGTCGTCGTCGTCGTCGTCGTCGTCGTAGTAGTAGTAGTAGTAGTAGTAGTAGTGGTAATAGTAGTACTGGTAGTAGTGGTAGCAGTATTAGTCGTAGTAATCATATCAGTACCAGTAGTAATAATAGTGGCAGTCGTATTATTAGTAGTAACGGTAGTAGTAGTAGTAGTAGTAGTAGTAGTAGTAGTAATAGTCGTCGTAGTAGTAGTAGTAGTAGTAGTAGTAGTAAGTAGTAAGTAGTAAGTAGTAGAGGTAGTAGTAGTAGTAGTAGTAGTAGTAGTAGTAGTGGTGGTGGTAGTAGTAGTAATAGTAATAGTAGTAGTAGTAGTAGTAGTCGTCGTAGTCGTAGTCGTAGTAGTAGTAGTAGTAGTAGTAGTAGGTAGTTAGTACTTAGTAGTAGTAGTAGTAGTAGTAGTAGTAGTAGTAGTAGTAGTAGTAGTAGTGGTAGTCGTAGTAGGCGTAGTCGTATTAATCGTAGTAGTCGTAGTAGTAGTGGTTGAAATGGTAGTAGTCATCGTAATCGTATCAGTAGAAGTAGTAGTCGTAGTAGTATTAGTAGTAGTAGTAGTAGTAGTAGTAGTAGTAGTAGGAGTAGTGGTTGTAGTAGTAGTATTATTAGTAGTAGTAGTAGTCGTAGTAGTCATAATAGTAGTAGTAGTAGTAGTAGTAGTAGTAGGCGTAGTACTACTACACATATCAATTTGCATTAGTACCACTACTACTATACTACTACCGTTACTACTACTACTACTACGACTACTACTACTACTACTACTACTACTACTACCACTACTACCACTACTACTACTACGTACCACTTCCATTTGCACTAATACTCTTACGTGTACTGGTAGTACTGTTCGTACTAGTACTAGTACTAGTACTACTACCACTACTACTACTGCTGCTTCTCCTTCCTTTTTTTGCAATCCGTAGTCCCACAGCTCCCACTATTACTACCACCATTGTTTTTTAGTGTCGCGGCCACGGCTACGATTACTATGCCGACTACGATCACAACGATTATCTTAATTGTTTGAGAGGCGCATGTTGCTTTCTCCGCTGGTACTCATGTTTGTCTTCCTGCCTACCTACCTACCTGCCTATTTACCCACAATTTGGTGGTGTTATTGCTACTGCTACCGCTACATCGCATCACTACCATTGCCATTGCCCGTGCTACGACTCTTCGCAGGCACATCATCGTGAGCGTGCTTATCGGGGTTTGCGCCGCCGCAACTGCCTGGGTGGGCGCAGCATTCGCAAGGGGGCTACTTGAACACGAGGAGCTTTCTGCTCGCGTCTTCGGCCCGTGCGCGGTTGTTTTCGGCGGCCGGGCGAGCCGAAGCGAGGGAGAATGGACGCGGCGAGATGAGGAGGGGAAAGGAAGAGGCGGAAGAGGAGGGGGAAGGGGGGAAGATGAGGAGGATCAGGAGGAGGAGCAGGAGGTGGAGGAGGAGCAGGAAAAAGGGGAATAGGAGGTGGAGGAAGAGGAGGAGGAGGAGGAGGAGGTGGAGGAGGAGGAGGAGGAGGAAATTCATTGTCCCCGGCGGGCCCTGGGAGACCCGAACTCAACCTACCCAGAAGGGCGGGAACCTTGGCGGCGGGGTTCGTCAGGGTCAGGGCCGCCTTCCCCTCTGTGGGAGGCGCATCTTTGGGGGGAAGAGGAGACTGCTGGCGTGGGGATCGGCTGGGCGCGTGGCATGGGGATGAAGGGAGCGTGCGGTGGAAGGAGTACGTTGCTGAGGGCCTTCCTTTCTCCCGGGGCGCATGGCGTGGGGACAGCGGGTCGCAACGGGGCACTCGCATATACAGAATTCTTGGGGAATGCACCGAAACGGCTGCTCAAGCAACGAGGCTGGGCCCCCTTGGCGGAGACCAAACGCGCAGGCCTCAGATCTTCTACCGGGCGTCTTCCGGCGGACCCGCGGCCGCTCCACCAGCCGAAACCCTACACGCCGCCACGCGTGTCCCGGGCAGGCTGCGCTGTCTGGCGGAAATGGGACGAGGAGGGGAGAAGCAGGCAGACGACGACGAACGCCCAGGCGGGAGGCCAGGGCCAGCGGGGCGGGCGGGCAGACAGAAAAGGAGACAGGCGGAGACAGCAGGCAGGGAGCAACAGGAAAGGAAATGAAGGGAAGCAGCGAGCAGAAGCGGAGGGAGGGGGAGAAGGAGGAGGGAATGGGAAGCAACCGCATGCAGACAGGCCGGGCCAAGGGCTGGGGAAGAAAGGCCACCCGCGACGAGGCTACGGACTCTACGGCGGCGACAGGGGCGGGGTGGCCGACCGAACCCAGCACGTTGCGGTTTGGTGGACATTGCCTTCTGCGGGATCCATCCAGCGCCCCGCCGAGCGCGCGAGGGGTCGCCAGCGTTACGCTAGCGGAAAAGCGCGGGGGGCGCCCGTGCTGCTCAGCAAGGGTGGGGGGGGTGGGGGGGCGCTAGGCAGCGCCCAGGGCACCTGGAGGCAGCCGTGGCCGCGGCCAGGCGGGCCGCTGCCACCCCCGCCCCTCCTGACTGCGTTTGGGGGCGCCGCAACACCGCCCGCGCGCTCCCTGTGCAGGGATACCGAAAGTCGCAGGGAGCTGGTCCGCAACCAGCGCGGCGTTTTCCCCCGTGGTGTCAGCCACCCGTTCGGCCAGGGGCCCGAAGGCCCTGCGCGCCCCGCGGCCCCGCCCGCTGCCGCTGGTTTCCGCCGCCACGGGGCTATAGGTGAAGCCTTGTTTCGCGCGCAGCCGCGCGGTGTCTTGGCGTTGCCTTTTCAACTCTTCGTGCCGCTCCGTCGCCGCACTTGACAAAGCGGCCAGCGCGGCGAGGAGATCGGCGCGCAACCCTGAGGCGGCGGCAAAGTCTCGAGCGGCCGCCGCGCCGTTGCGACGCCGCGGCAGGTTGACGTCGGCAGGGCGGCGGCCGCGATCGCCCGCCTGGGGCCCGCCCTGCTCGCCCCCGGGCGTGGCCCCCGCACGCCCGGCGGGGCGCGGGGGTAGCAGCCCCGGGCGCTCCAACTCCGCCCCGGAGTGGCCAGCGGCCTGGGCGTCGAAGAAGTCCTGGTTGCGCAGGGCGTTGTGGCGTCTGGTCCGGTCGCCGAGGCAGGCGCAGACCAGGGCGCGGTCGCAGAAGACGCCTATCAACTCGCCGCAGGCTGGACAAGCACGCCTCCTCCTGCAGCAGCTGGACTCGCAGCCGCCTTTGCAGGCCGACCTGCACGAGTCCGCGAGGGAACGCGGCGCCGGCGGCATCGCTGGGCGGCGCTCGGGGCCCCGCGCCCGCGCCCGCGGCCTGCGCCAGGCGAGCCCCCTCCCGAGAAACCCCCGACGACCACCCGAATTGGAGTTTTTTTTTTTTTTGTTTTTTTTCTCTCTCTCTCTCTCTCTCTCTCTCCCTCTCTCTTTGTTTTTTTGTTTTTGTTTGTTTGTTTGTTTGTTTTTTTTGTCTCTCTCTCTCTCTTTCTATCTCTATCTCTGTCTCTCTCTATCCCTCTCTCTCTCTCTCTCTGGTGTTCCCCCTTTGGAAAATCACCCCGACATTCAACCGCCAACAACCGTTTTTGTCGTTGTTTTCGTTGTTGGTTGTTGTCGTTGTTTTATGTGGGTTGCACGTGCGAAAAACCTTCGGACAACCGCGGGATTTTTTTTTTGCGGGTGCTGCCCTTAGCACAACCACAGACAAACCACATACACAATCGCAAACTGTTATATATGTATAGATAGAGCTTGCTGGATGGCTTTCGGAACGCCAGGTCTCTCATCCAGTCTCGCCTCGGCTATCTCTGTTAAATTTTGGCTCAAGATCGCCTGGCGGCGCTCGGTTCGGGCGCCACGGCGAGTCACTCCGAGGTCACCGCCTCTGCGCGATCGGCCCTCCTCGCGAGCTCGGCGCTGCTGTTCCGAAGCCAGGCTGGGCGGCACTTGGCGACCTGGGCTGCAGGGCGCTACGGGCCCGAGGCGGCGCGGGCGCTGTCCGTCGCGGGGGCGCGGGGCGTCGCCGCGCTGGGCGAGGCCGCCCAGGCCGCCGCGGGCTGGGGCTGGCGGGCTCTGCGCGCAGCCGCGACCTTCGCGAGCTCCCTGCTTGCTCTCGCCTGGGAGCAGCGCGGGTGGCCGGCGCGGGGGGCCTGCGCCTGCTGGTCACGCTGCCGCTCGGCGCTGGAGGCCACCTGGGCCTTGGGCGCGCAGGCTGTCGGAGGGCTCCGTGGCTGGAGGGCGGCCCGACGGGCCGAGTGCGCACGTGCTCGCGAGCTCGCAGCCGCTTCGACCGCTCTCGAGGGCGCGCTGGTGGAGATGGCGCTGGCAGGCGGTGTGGCCGCGGGGGCGGCCGACCCTTGCTGCGTGCTGCTCTCCCGCAGCGGCGAGTGGGGCGAGGTCCTGGTCTTCGGGCAGGTGCACGGCGCGGACTTCAGCCTGGCCCTGACGACGGATGCGACAGGCCTGGCGTTCGTCTGGGCGCCGGTGCGGCTGCTGCCAGGGCACTTCCGCGCCGTGGCTGTGCCTGGCGGGGGGGCCCCCCGCGCGCCGCCCTTCGGCATTTCGGGGGCCCTGGCCAACTGGGTCTGCGAGCCGCCGCGCGCCGCGGTGCAGTGGGGCCCGGGCGTGGCCAAGCTCGCCGCGCCGCGGCTGGAGGCCCAGAGCGTGGCCGCGGCGCTGCCGATCATCGGGCTGGCGCCAGGGGTCATCTTCGACGCGGGCTCGCAGGCGGCGGCGATCCCCGCCTTCATGCCGGTGGGGGGGGCCCTGCCCGCGGCGGGGAGCGGCGCCGTGGCGCCTGCGGCGGCGGCGGGCGCAGGGGCGGCAGCTGCGGCCCCGCCCGCAGGAGCGGTTGCGCTGCCCGCCGCGGGCGCGGCGGGGCCCGCGGCCGCCGCGGGCCCGGGCTTCGCCGCGGCGGGGGTCCCCGACGGAGCAGCGGCGGAGGCTCCGGCGGCAGGAGGTCTGGACCTGGCCACGCTGCCGAGCGAGGCGCGCGCGACCCAGGGCCAGCTTCAGGGCGGAGGCAACAAGGGCGGCTGGCACGACAAGAAGGACAAGAAGTCCGACTCCAAGAAAAAGAAGAAGAATAAGAAAAAGAAGCGGTCCGACTCCAGCGGCTTATCGAGCTCGAGTGTGAGCAGCACGTCAAGCAGCAGCGCCTTCCCTCGGTGGCGCGGGCTTCGGCGGTGGCGCGGGCCGAAGGCCGAGAGCCGTCGAGTCGACCCTGCGCGGGGGCGAAAGCTGGAGACCGAAAAGTTTAAGGCGAAGGGCGACCTCCTGGCGTTCGCGGCGAAGCATCCAGGGGCGCTGTCGGGCTACTTCCTGGCGATGGTACGTCGCAAGCTGAGCCGCGGGCGCCTGGCGGAGACCAAGCGGCTGCGCCACGCGTCGGTGGCGACATGGGCTCAGGCGCATTCGGGCATGAACGAGCTGTGCGACCGGCGCGGGGTGCAGACGCTGGCGTTGGTCATGGACCTGATCAACACGCAGGACCTGGCGACGGCGATGGACGTGCTGGCGCAGCGCATCATCGCGATCCAGCGGGCCAAGTCGAAGGGGGGCTCCTGGGAGAAGGCGGAGGCCGCGGAGTTGCTGGCGGGGACGGGTGGCGGGGTCGCTGCAGGCGGCCCCTCGAAGCTGACCACGTGACGAGGTGGCGGAGGGCGCGGCAGAGGTGGCTGCGCCGCGGAGGCCAGGAGTGCACTCTGGCTTCCGTCTTGGTCGGTCTCGGCGACTGGCTGAGCTTCGCGGGTGGCCCCTTGGGGCTGCCCCTACGGCGTGGACACCTCGTTCGGCCTCGTGTCGTGGAGCTCGGGAAGTCATCGCCAGTGGTCTCCCCTGTCCCGCTGCTACGGCGCGGTGATGCCGAGCTCGCAAAGTACGGGCGCCAGAAGCGGGGCGCAGTTTTGGTGTGGGCAAACATGTGCATCGTCGCTCTCGGCGATCTGCACGACGGGGACGGCGACTACAACATGGTGCCGACGCATGCCCAGCGACATGTGCAAGGGCGCATGCTGATGGGTGTCTCTCGCTCCCCTGCGGCCGAGTTGGCTTTGCCAGAGGCGGCGACAATTCAAGAGGTCTTGCGCCGCTCCGACGGCTGCGAGCCGCCCAGGTGCGTCGCGGAGCCCCTCGGCGAGCGTGGCGGAGTCCATGAACGCGCCGCCGCCGTCGACCTGGCTGGGCTGCTGGACGAACACTCCCCTTGGCTTTCTCATCAGGTTCGCTGCCCCCGCTCGCTGCTCCTGAGCGTGGATCGGCGGCCCGCCAGGCTCAAGAGACTTCGCGCGCTGGCGGGGCCCACCTACCCGAGCCTTGCGGCGCGCAA